TTTAAAAGGTCACAGCTCTTCCCCTGCTCCCATCCCACCCCCCTCCCCACTGAAGAGCACCCAGAGCTGCCTTCTGCTTGCAATGCTGCCCCGTCCCAGTGCTGGTTCTTTTTGCTTTGACCCCTGCTCTGAGATGGCACCTTCCCAAAAATGGATGGTGGGAGCTGCTGTCATGGTCTGACATGGAGAGTCCCACACTTTGGGGTCACAGACCATTAGCAAACCATACTGTTTCTCAATGGCATTAAATGCATATCTTCAGGACCACGCTTATAGCTGAAAATGTCAAGAAGGCAATAGGGGCTCTGCAGGACAAGCTACAGGCCTCCAAGCACAGCTTGCAGCCACCTGCAACCAACAGAGCACAGTTTTGGTCCTGTGCAAAAGACTTCAGGAAAATGGCTGCGATTCTTCAAGAGGGATCACCACCTCCCATCTCACCAAAAGCATCACGAGCCAAGAACAGGGCTCACTCACAGAGTCACATAATTATTAAGGTTGGAAAAGATCACCGAGATCATCTAATTCAACCCTTCTCTTCCTTTCAAGTTCATCCTGTTGTGAGGCACCAAAAACATAGCACTGAGATGCAGTTTACACTGAAGGGTATTTGTGCCATGTCAAAAGAAAAGGATTTTCAAGGGCAAAGTTACATATAAGTGGCAGGGAAAGACTCTCTTTTCTGTCCTACCAACAGCCAATTCCATTGGGAAGAACCAGGATATGTTGGGCTATACGCACCTCATTGATTCCCGAGGTTCTGCTTCAGATCTGTGCTAACACTGCAAATAAAATTTCCACCACCTCCTTCACCTGAACAGCAATTTGTTTTTGTCTGGGTTCGTACCCTTCTCGTGTTTGCTCTCAGTAATTACTCAAATGAATGCATTAACTGGTAGGAATACCGGGAGAGGCAGAGAATTTCAAGCATCTGGGAGAGAATATTCCTGGAAAGTGAATGGTGAGCTGGAAGCCAGCACCTGCGTCCAGCAGCACTCTGCCCACTGGCAGAGAACGAGAACCCACCCTCTCACTCAATTCTTAAGCACATACTTTTGAACAAAACATTTGTACTGAGAAGAAAATTCCATCCTAGGGAACCAGGGATTAGAAATGTCCCCCATGACTTCCATGTCCAGACAGAACAAATTTGTATGAATTATAAGAAAGCTTTTTCAACCCCCAACCCAACCACAGATTATACGCAGAAGTGGCCTTGCAAATACACTGGAGGCATTTTCTTGTTTTTCTCAGCAACTCACAAGGAGGAAATAAAAGGAAAAATTCATTTATGAAGTTGCTATAAATTATTTGCTGGGTTGGACTTGACAAGTTCCTTATTGCTTTTTGCCACGTGCAGACACTGACTTCGTGTAAAGCAAGTCCAGCTCTAGCAGTGCCCTGACAACTTCCAATCTTTTCCTTTCTGGGGTGTGATACTCTGCTCTCCTGCAGTTAATCTCAAAAGGGAAAACACCACAAACTCATTGCATGCCAAAGACCATATCCCTAGAGTCACTCCATCCATCAAACAGAGATGGAAGCAAGGTTCTGACAACCAGAATGGCACGTAAGCACTACATACATCCATGCTGCTACTCTTGCAGCCATCTAAATGGATTCCTTCATGGTTTCCTCTAAATATCCTCTCGGCACTAAGGGATACTCATAGCTCAGCTTATATCAGTGGCAATGCTGAAATTCAAGAGGTCCACACTGATACTCTGAAAAAAAGAAAACCCTGGCATTGCTTCCGACTAGAGGGAGCCTCATCTGCTTCACTGGATTCAAGGAATAGACAATAGCCACAGATCATACTTGGCATCACTAGTTCATAAATAAGTACCTAAGTCTAAGACCTGCTGAAATATCATTTTCACAGCAAAGTAATTTTATTAAGACTCAGATTGGCAAGAAATTTAAATGGAACAATGGAAAACATGTTTTGCAGCCTAGAAGTAACGGAGTTAGTGCATCAAAGCAGAACAAGCTATTGTGCTTTGAAAGTATCTGAGACCTGCTCATACCCTAAGCAAATTTAAATGCCAGCAGTGACTCGGTAGAAGTGAGGAACTGCCACTAGAGGAATCATAAGGGCTGGAAAAGACCTCTAAAAATCATCTAGTTTTGACCCATACTCACTATGTCCCTCAGTGCCATATCTCTGTGGTTCTCAGACACCTCCAAGCACGGTGACTCCCCCCCCACCTCCCTGTGCCAATGCATTACCACTTCTTTTGAAAAGAAATTTCTCATGACATTCAGTCTGAAAGGAAGGAAGCACTGTGGCTGGAAGCTGATGGCTGGTTTGGAAGAAACGTCCACAAACTGTGGGTTTTGAGAAGGCAGGTCTGCCCAGCAGCACTGGAGGCTGGGTGATCACACCAGTCAGTCCTGGAAGCTCTGTCTCAATTAATTGCTGCTTATGTTCACAGCAACTAATTATCTCCTGGCTGCCCAGTGGGGTGAGAGGCTAAGTGGACAGGAGGGCATTATGCTGAAGTGAAAGGAGAACGCCAGGAGCCTCCTGGAGCCACAAAAAAAAAAAAAAAAAAAAAAAGATGAATCACAGCAGTAAGATATGATGGTGGGAACGGGGTAAGCTCAGCCTTCAGTAAGGAAGGAACAAGCTCCTAATGGAAGCAGAAACAGGTGAATATTATTGCTTACATTCAGGGGTGCTCTGCCCAACGTATAAGGGGTCTGTTTACTTCAAAGGAGTTAATCAGATCCACACAGAGAGCAACAACACATCTGCTTCTTCCTACAAAGATTACACACATGAAATTAAGGAGACAAACGTGCATGGCTGTGTCCAAATGCAGAGTGGCCCTTGTGAACAGAGGACCAAAGCTGCTAATACATCACTTCAGTAAAGTATTTGCATACATCTTTACTGCTGATAACTCCCTGTGCCCCCTACCAAAAATAAAACAAACATCACTATCAGACTTGCTCAGATCTTCAGAAAACACCGTGCCCACAGGACACACAAAGGTAAACCCCAAGTATCTCACTTCTAACACTTTTGATGAGCAAAGACCAGCTAAGGATGCTACACCAAACTCTGATGAGGATTGGAAAGACTACAGATCTCATTCAGACCCTTTATTATTCTGTTTTAATTTAAGAAAAAACATCAGTGTACCTCAGTGTAACACCATAACGTGACAGAAGGTATAGCAATAACAGCAGAGCAGCACAACCCCAGGCTGCAGCAAATGGAAGCAAGCTCAAACGTAGCAGCTGTAGACACAGAAACAAAGGAAGAAAAACTACATACCTCCAAAAGACCTCAGGCAGGCAGGCAGGATCTCCAGCAAGATCTCCTCACCTCCACTGCCAGCCCTTAAATGAGGTCTGGGAAAGGATAGATCCTGGCTCCACCCCTTCATCACTTAGATGCATTGCATTGCATACACCTGAGCTCCCCTGGCTTGGCCCTGCCTTCCCACCAGGTGCTCAATCACTGCTTCAGGCCACGACTTAGCATTTCCAATCCTATCAGCCATTTGGAAACACTCCGATCGCTTTCCAAACGTCTGCAGCCCATCAGCTCAATTCTGAATCGTTACTACTGCAACTAACTGACGCTGACTCCTTTCTGCACCTTCCCCTTTTCATCTCTGCAGCAAGGTGAGACCCAGCTGGATGGATGATGGAAGCACTCAGTAGCTCAGAGCACCTCGCAGAGTAGGGCAGTGCGAGGCCCTCCTTCTTGTGAAACATTTCGAGTTCCTAAGGCAGGGAGGCTTTGTTTAGATAATTCAACTGATGATCTTTTTGATCCCGTTACACATCCAGGATGTTCTGAGCAAAGACAGAAAAATGAGTGGCTTCAATATGTATTGCAAAAAGGGTTCTGAAAATGCAGCCTGGTGCTGAATGAGGATGTAAAATCAAACAAAAAACCTCAATGGTAATCTGCACAAATTTTTGACTGGGGCTCCCTTCTGATTCTATTGGGACAACGGCAGGGTGGTATCCATTCAAGAGAAAGGAAACCCCAATCTGAAGTCATGCAAGGCAACTGGACAAACCCTCAAAGACTGCTGCCTCTCAAGTGGTTTACATCTCCAGCATCCCCTTCCTTAGCAGACAGTCATAAAGAGAACACCATGCTTGGAAATGGCAAAATAACATTTCTGCTGAGACCAATGGCTCAACAAAGCCCTCAATTTTAATGCCCCTGAATATGGAGAAAAAATTCCATCAATGAAACCCGAGTGCACTGCTTGGACCACGGCACCACTGATGCTCCCAGACACTTCTCTACCTCCACCTTTGCTCTCAAGTTTGCTGCACGGTTAAGGCAGTTGTGGGAAGTGAAGTGCTCACAGGCGAAGGCCCACGCTGCACACTGGGAAGCAGGAGGACGGTTGAGACTCTTCACCTGTCATCCTAGAAGAATGACTGGGTTGCAGGCGAACCCTGTTTGTGATTTTGAGATCAGGAAAGCAAAGAGCCTGCTGGGATGGAGGAAGGTTTGGTCTGCATGTTTTCTTTAAAATAAAACCCTTGTTTTGAACCTGTACCAAAGCAATGACAGTAAAGCCCTTAGTGATGCAGGCTTCTGATAGATCACTAGAAAAAAGCAAAGAAAGAGTGGGATGGGAAGAAAGCTTTGCAAAATACACATTAACAAAAGACATAAAACAACAATCGTGCAGATATTTTAAGTTAAGCTCAAAAATAATAGAAGTAACTTCATTCAATCACATCTCCCACACATACCAAGAGAAGAGATTACATTTAAAAAAGAATTTAAAAAGAATTCAAAAAGGAAAAAATAAAATTGAAAGCATTAAGTGCACTGGAATCCTGTTTCTATAACTCCAGTCAAAGGGAACTTTGGAGTAGACTGACGAACCACAGCTCTTGAATGCTGGGAGCTTGTTTTCCATCATGCCACCGTACCATTCTCCTTCACCTTGGGTCTTCAGAGGAGAAAATCTGAATTACAAAAGGAGCTACAGAATTTCAAGCAGCCAGGCTTTGAGGAAGGTTCCATTCTCCAACATTTGTGTTCAAGTCTGAATGTGTGTGTACAGTACAGCATCACGAGCTAACATTTGAAAAGACAGCAGTCTAAGTAATAAATTTTGAGAATGAAGAGAACTGTACAGAATGATTCCAAAGGCTTATACTTGACAATTATACATATTTTATGAGACAGTTATGCACCCTGTGTCTTTTTTAAATTCATTGTTTTATGGATGCAGTATCTCTTATTCTAGCAGACAGGATATACTAAACAAATCTAATGGTCTAAAAGCATCATTTACCACTGCACCTAACAATGGCACTGCAGAGATTTGTAGCTTTTTTTCCCTTAAACTCCTCCATTACCCAAGTGATTCTTAGCACGGCTGCAGACCAAGAACCAAAGATCTGCAGATATAACATTTGTTTAGTATTTGGCACAGTGGAGTTTGTTTGATATACCTATTTCACCCTTTTTTCACCCTTATTGATGCTGAACTTGTAATGCTGTGCATAAATTACAAACACGTTCGTGAAGCAAATCGTGTGGAGGCAGCCTGGTGCCCCACACCCGAGTGTAAATGCCCAGATAAAAGCAAGGTCTGCTAAAAATGAGTAGTGGGTTATCAGCCCCCGTAACTGCCAGCAGTGGGTGAGGAGCAGGGGCAGATCAGCCCATCAGCTGCATGGAAGTGATGCCCAGCATTCGGATCAAGGCGCCGGCTCACTTCTCTGAACAACCTGCACGTTCACAACAGCTTCAAAATACAAACAAAAAAGGAGGTTCCTGATTATGATGCTGACCCTTAAAATCCTTCTGATAGCGGAAACGGGTCTGGTTTCCATTTCTGGCCAGGGAAAACCCATCAAACACAGTCACTTAGTATTGCTTCCCAACAGGAATGTTTTGGAAAATAAAAATAATACATACAAAATAAGCCTGACCTGATGGCTTCCTGAAATCAGATGAAAGCTTCCCCTTGATTTCCGCAGCCTTGGATAAGACTGCATTGCAAAGGCAAAGGCAAATCTGTTCTGCATGGCCACCTCCTGAAGATGTGAACGAACATTTCAGAGGTGCTCAGTGCTGGCCAGCCTCTGCTCCCATAACCCAGCCTTCCACAGGAACACACTTTGCACATCTCAGGGCAAAATGTGGCTTCCGGCAGATTATTCTACTTTCCTCACATGGCTTCCATGGAAATGAGTGGAATTTCTCAAGTGAGAAAAATATCTGTTGTGAAGATTAAGGTCAGTATTCCTTTCACCTGGTACATACACACACACATGTACTTTAAAGAAAACATCCACCACACGATTTCTAGATTGCAAATTATATATATATATATATCTTTAAAAACAGGAGAGAACATAAACAGTTTCTCCCTTCATATATATGTATTCACTGAGTCACATAGAATATGAAAAAACTATATTATGTAAATCATCATATTATCTATAATTCTCCAACTGTTTTTATAGAGACACAGTGCGTTCGTTCTCTTTTTTAAAAACATATTATGTGTCTTCATTGGCTTGGTAGCATATTAGAATGAAGGCGTATGGATAAAAAATGCAGAGGATTAAACAAACCCCTTGAGTCACATTATTCAACAGGATCCTCCCCCAAACCAGCGTAAGCCCTCCCTATGGAAAAGTGTCAGCGATTTAAGGGTTAACATAGATTTGAAAATAATCTCAAAAATTAGAGGATTACACAGACAAATATTTGGAATTCATCCCTCTTTAAAAATGACAGCACATTTGGCAAGCGTGAGCAAACATCTCCAACTTTACTGGGTTTGAAAGATCCGAGCACAGCTATTCAGAGACAACCCAAAAGCTGCGATCTGCAAACACGCCTCGGCTGCAAGGACTCGGGAGCTGGGACAGCACTGCTCGCTACCTGGAAGCTTTCCAGCAGCTTTCAAGGTGTTTATCGTGGACTCATGGCTGGTGTCAGAGCAACATCACAGAGCACGTCGGGTTTGAGCAGCACCCAGGTTCGAAGGGAGGATCCTTCAGCCCATACTATGGGAATAGATGGCCCCTCGGGATGCGAATGCCTCTTCCAGCATTGCCATCATCATCTTGCTTCCTCAGCACCTTGTGCCCAAGGCTCTCTGCTGGCTGAGCTCTCCAATGAACCTCTGAGGATGCCCTCTGGCGATTCCTGTTTTGGAAGCCCATACTGTCACCAAAGGGGCTGGTAGCTCCCTGCTTTCTCCATCACCCCGCAGGATATCACAAGTGATCCCACTATAAGACGTCGTTCTCATGAATCCTGGCTGGGTTTGACTTTGAGAAAAAGACAAAAGTTTCCTGTGTTGCCATTGTTGTCTTGTAATTTTGTTTCTTCATTCTCTCTTCTCATTTTTATTAAAAAGGACCCTCGGGTTATTAATATAGTCCATCCTTCCACAGTCACTATAAAACAGACTCCATATTTTCACACCACTCATGATCTTCAAGGTTATAGATAAATTTTGTCCTATGTGGTTGGTTTTGGGGCACCGAGTCCCGCCCCAGATTGTCTAAGGTGAGAGTAGAGGCAAAAAACTCACTAGTGCTGAGACCACCTTCGTGGTTCTTGATGTACCTTTTATAGTTTTTCCTCAAGCACTGCCAGGTGGTTGTATATAGGATGAATGCAAAAGACTTGAGGGCTATAGCAATGCTAACATACAGGTATCTGTAGACCACATTGTCGTACAGCGCGCAGGCTCCTTGCTCGCCGCAGAACGTGCTCCAGAACAGACACGTGGAGTCAATTCCAGCCCCAAAGATCAGCGGAGGTGGAATAAAACCTGTCAAAATAAGAGAGACAAATCATTCTTTTATGATCTTTATGATGAAGAGAGAGGACGTGATTACACCGAACGGAAAGCGAGGGCACTTAGCGAGGTTAATGGTCCCAGATGGAGCCTGGGATTTGCTGGCTTTTTTAGCTCTAAATCAACCTAAACAAAGTGTGCGGATATGAGTTTTCAGCTTGGAGTCGATGTCTATGGAAGAGATTCCTAGTTATATCCCAAATGCAGGTAGGATTTTATTCAAGTTTAAGTGCCTTTCATTAAGCTTCTTTTTGTCTAGTGAGACTACATGGAGGGGCAAATGAAAAAGGAGGAGGATGGCTTTGTGGATTGCTCTCTGTTTAGATGCTGGTAATTTTGCACTCCAGGGCTTTCACTTGAAGGATGTCATAGACTCCAGTTCAGTCTGAAATCAGCTGCGGCACCAAGATCTGGTTTTGGACCTTTCCCTGACACAGGAGTAGGCTTTCTCCTGACCTAAGGAGAAGAAGCCATGGCCTGTAATGGATTCCATTGATTAAATACAAAAAGAAGGGAAAATTTCAGCGTGCCATTAAATGAAATAAAACAGCAGGATTCTCCTACAGCCACTGCAGCTAACTGTGGATGAGCACGTCTCGTTCTGCAACAGAGCTGCAATCTTAAAACAGAGCAATCACTCAACCCCTTTTAACCAATAAATGCGACATTTTTCTCTCTACTTTCTCCCATCTTATGGGATTGCTGCAGAATTTCCCCCATTTCAAATCGTCCCAACAGTGGGGCATCATCCACACCCAACTGCGTGCTCCCCAGTCAGCACCAGGCACTGAGCATAGAATCATAGAATTATTAAGGCTGGAAAAGAACTCTAATATCATCTAGTCCAGGCACCACCGCATCCCCCATTCCCACCACGCAAATAAACCATGTCCCTCTTGCCACATCTCCACTGTTCTTGAACACCTCAAGGAAGGAAGGTTGACTCCACGACCTCCCTGAGATTGAGCACTCAGAAGAAAACATAAGTGTTCTACATAATGCAAACCATTTTTCCCTCTTCTGCTATATTTCTATGGGTAGGCTGGAAGTGGAAGCCCTAAGGAAAAAGAAACAAAACCCAAAAAGCCCACTGTTGCATGCTAAGACAGCAAGCAAAGGAGAACACCATCTATGTGAACTGAATAGCAGGTGGGCACAATGAGCTCTCTGAGATTGGGCACTGACAGCATCACTCCATCTGTAGGTGCTGTGACTATAAATAAGCATGTAGGCACATAGACACAAGGACTGCACTTTTTAGACAGGAAGCATTTAATCTTGGATCCAATTTCATCATTAACCTGTATTTCCAGGTTTGAATATGATGCTTTCCTTCAGCTCGACATGAACAAAATAATGACATTCATGACATATATCCTAAGACTACAAATAAATTGGTTGTAGTCACTGTTCCCTGTGGTAACTGAGATCTTTTTCTTTTATTTTGTTGATGACTAGAGCTCTGCAGGTTATGTTTGATTTTCTTTATACGCTAATAACTACAGGAGTAAAGAAAGGCTATACAGGCTTCTGGTACACATTTGAACCATGACTGTGGTGAATAAGAATAGATGATACAAAAACAAGACAATGTGTTTGTTAGAAACATGACTTCCAGTCATCACATCTAAAACTCAGTTATGTTCTGCAAACAATGTCAGTGCCAGCTCCATGTTTGTCACTGCAGTGACGGGAAAGTCTAGGCTGAGCTGGATTTGCTTCTAAGTTAAAAGACGCCTGTCTTTGAAGCCTGTGGACAACTGCAAACTCAATCCAGCACTCGAAAATTCAGCCAGACTCCTGCCACGAACAGGCAAAGAGATTGTGCTGCTGAGCGCAGTTCGTGTGCCTGGTGCTGTGCTGCCTCCAGATGCCACCTACCTATGGGCTAACATCCAGATGTGGCAGTGGGCAAGGAAACAGCAGCTGCATGATTTCTGGGCTAAGGGAGGGCTGCATTTGGACCATAATTTTGAGGTGTGAGTCCATACTTGTTAGTATGCTGAGAGACGCTGATGCAAAGCTTACGAGATGTATAAGCTGGACTTCAGAAATGCCATCATTCCCATTCCAGCTTCAGCTGGTTCTCCATGTTTTCAATGCCTTAGAATCATAAAGATTGGAAAAGACCACTAAGATCACCCAGCCCAACCCCATCCCACCCCACCATGCCCACTGACCACATCCCTCAGTTCCACGTCCCCATGGTTCTTGAGCACCTCCAGGGATGATGACTCCACCACCTCCCTGGGCAGCTGTGCCACTGCACATCCCAAGCAAGAGCCCCCTGTATAGCAGCTGCTACTTTCAAAAACCTTTGGCTCTAACCACTTCGCTTTACACTCCAAGAAACCACTATTGCACATTTATATGAAGGCACTGTTATGCTGCTCTCTCACAGCAGAATTCCTGTGGAATAAGATAATACGTCCGGGAGGATATCGGGAGAGTTCAGTTGTGTTTCATGTTATTACAGTGAATATTAAAGAGATTCAATCATGCTTTCCCTCTTATTGCAAAGTGTTGCAAAAAGAAATCCGCTATATATATTTCATTGCAGAAACTGCAGGGTTGTAGAAAAAAGCTGCTTCTGTCTTACTGAAATCTATTAGCTCCGATTGCACCTCTGGGTCTCATACCACGTATATTTAATACACTCCTTTGGTTCAAGAAGCAGCTATTACCACTCTCTTCTTAAGTCAAAGCTAAAGGTGAACTGAAATGCTTTTAAAATATATCAGTAAAGCTAGTCAGATTATTAAGGGCAAGATTTGGATACCCTGGCTTATCTTGAAAAGCACCTTTCTCTTCATTTTCTATGGGCTCTAGCTACATTGCTGATATTCTGTGGGATGTATTCTCTTATTTCAAGGGAATTCCTCAGTGACAGAGCAACACATAAAGATTTGAGTTTGAATTCTTACTATGGCTTCTTCACTGGAAGAAAAAGAAGATCTATTTATCTTCAGTATACATGTCTGAGCTCAGTTTTAGTGGAATTGAAGATGATGCTATCTCAGAAGATTTCTCTCTTTCAAAAGGAATAGGAAAGAGAGAAAATCTTTCCCCTTAAATACCTTTTTCTTCAAAAACAACAGTCTGCAATACCCTCCTTGCAGACTTGCCTGACGACACCCCACATTCAGCCAGCAAGAGCTGCAGAGACAGGCCAAAACCTGAGAGCAGCACTGACAGCAAAGGAAAATGCTGTCTTTGCAAGGCTTGAACCAGAGCCAACCCAATCCAGACGCAACCCTTTGACTTCTCTGAGCTCTTGGTGCATTTGCTTGATGGAGCTTTCTGTATGACTGCAGCTACTTTACCAAGAGCAATGAAAATCTAATTGGCTTTAATGTAAACTGGTCTGGGACCACCATTTCCCTTCCAGCTCATGAGGAATGAGTTCTTACCAAAAATAATAAAGTACTTACTCAAGGCAATGAGTGGTACTACGGGGATTTTTGGTCCCCTACTTCCCAGAACTTTACTACAGCCTAGAAGATGGCATTTAACTTTGTGACTGGGGATCAAGCAGAGAAGGCGCTGCCGGTGCTCTGCTGCAGGAGCCTTAAAAAAAAAATAAATCCCACCTCCAAGACAGGCAGAAACCATGTGCACCCACAGAATGATGGGTCATGAAGATAATGAGATGAAATACAGGGGTTGTAAAATAGGAGCCATCTCTTTAAAAGGGAAAAAAAACCAACACCTAGAAATAAGAAGCAGGCAAACAAAAGCCCAGTGTGCTCCTTTTAATTCACACATGAGAAATACATTCTGGTCCAGAGGAAGGAACAGCCATTTGCTTTTTAATGGGATATTAACCCACAGGAGAGTACAAGGACTTTGCCTGCCTCATTTTACTGTCTTCCTTTCTGAGACACCAGAAAGAAGGGACAAACACACCCTATGTAACACAGGTCCTGTCCCTCAAATGAGGATAAAAATACGTATTCCTCTACTTCAGCCATACGCAATACAAGCAGTAATTGTGCAAGCTGCTGACATGTTAATAGCTATAGGAGAGGGCTGGCTGCGTGGGAGCATGGCAGAAATGGTCATTTCTCATGCAACACCACATTTTCTTCCATTAGCACAATCGACATGGCAGGAAAAGTGCCTTTGGGAATCTGGATGCCATATTCTTCACAGGGAGGTCTTGGACCCCACCGCATCAGATCCCACCCATGACAACTGCAATTTCTGATGTCAAGTAAGTATGCACGAAGTAGAAATCAACTCTTGCATATTAAAAACAGTGTTTTCTGTGAGAGAGGAGAGGGATGGGGAGAAAGACGAGACATCTTTATACTTACCCAGCAAACGGAGAAGCAGGAAAAGCACCCCCAGAGCATAAGACTTGAGTTCGGGGCTCACGGTTCTGTAGGGAGGAGAGGGAGACAGTGAAATCGATTCTTATTGTTCTGCTTTCATTAACACACCCCATGGCAATTCCATGCTGTCAGCCAGGATGCCACCACCACCTCTTCAAAAAGTCATTAATGTGGCTTTTCTTCTTCCTTTGCCTGAACCGCCTACAGCCTGAAAAGTAATTGCAGTGGTGGCCATGTGATAGGTGCAGGAATTTAGCAAAGTCATTAACAGCAGCAGCTCGTCTTGCTGTTGAATGGGGAAAAATGGAATTCTCATCTCAGCAAACTGGCATTTACCCCATCGTGTTTTTAAGGCTCCAGATGTTGAGAATTTGTATCATCTGGAATCGCGGAATCACGAGGGTTGGAAAAGATCACTAAGCTCACCCAGTTCAACCACCAACCCATCCCCACCATGCCTATAACCACGTCCCCCCTCAGTGCCACACCTACACAGTTCTTGAACACCTTCAGGGACGGTGACTCCACCACCTCCATGGGCAGCTTGTGCCCATGCCCGACCACTCTTTCTGACAAGAAAGTTTTCCTCACATCCAACCTGAGGAAAGAAAACTTCTTATCTGGAGTCTTCTCAGACTACAAGGAATAGGGGTGGAAAGGAAGATGATGGACCAAAATGTTCAGCAGAACTGTTGGATCAAGCCTCCCAGTGGGGAAATGCTCAAGAAAATGAGTTCTCATGGAATTTGTTTTATACTGGGAAGACAACTGCTGCCCCACCTTTTGCTGTGGACAGAACCCAGTTTATCACATTAGTATTAGCTTTCATAGGTGCCTTAAAAAATAATTCATGGCTTTCTAATTCGCTTAGCTCAAGGATGCTACTGGCTAAAGGTATTCTCTTGAGGTAGGCTCAGAGAAATCTTCGGCATTTCAGAAACCATTAATTTGGTTTTAACTCTTAAAATAGCATTTTATGTCCCAGAGGATACAAAGGCTTGGAAAGCAGACAGCGATCCCCATGTGACTGCATATATATTGGCATAAATATATCCCCACAATACCAATAAAATAGCCAGAAAGAGCAATTGGTTTTAAATTAGGAAAAGACCATTCTGATCACCTGCCTTCATCTCATGCATTACACAGACCATGTAACACGATATCCTGAGTCCTGCATGAAGCCCAAACCTCTGGCTGTGTTTCAGTAGAGTTACCCAGGCTCGACATAAGACTTAATGCCATGAAGAATCTACTCTTGGAAAAATATTCAAGTAGTTAATGGCTTGGCTCAAATAGGATTCTACAGTAGAGTAGGAAATAAAGGAAATGAAAAGAGTATCAAGGTTTATTTTATGAAAAAATTGACAGTCATCTGAAAAATTCACAGTGGGTTTTTAATTAATAGTGGCGTTCATCCATCCACCTTTTTGTATTTAAGACCAAAGTCCATTCCCACACCGTAGGGTGAAGTAATATTTGCCACCTGGAGATACTACCTTTCTTTAGTGCCTACAACAGTGAACTAACGACTTTCCTAGACAAGACATCTAATTAGTAGACACTGAAGCAAACAAATCTCACACCAGATTCTTCGGGGTACGGACTTGCAGTGATTCCTGCCCTCATGGCACCTGCTTCCCTTTAGATGCTGGACAAGCAATATCAGAAGGCTTTGAGGAGTGGAAGACAAACTTATTCATATTTTTATTCCCCCCTGCAACCCATCATCCCAGACAGTCTCCAGACCCCAAAGTGTCTCTCCTATCTTCAAGTGGTTACATCCGATGGAATTGTTTCCAGACCAAAACTTCAGTTCTCTTTAAGTGACCATCTCAGGTACATGCCAAAGCTACTGGTCCCAGTGCAACTCATGCTGGCTCCGAGAGGGGAGTTCATTCTTAAGTTAACCACAGGAAGCAGATGATGCCACTAGTCCCTGCCAGAGACACCATGAATACACGCCAGCACCTCCTTCCAGCAATGCTTTACCCAAAACTACAGAGACCATGAGGTTGTATATGGTGAACAGCTCTTTCCCATACATTTTAGTAGCTAAAAACTAAAACTCTGATAGAAGTGTAGCTGCTAGTTTGTATGGGTGAATTGTTTATTTCCCAGAAGCGAGAGATGAGTGTTTTTAATGTTCCCTTCCTTTTTTTCTTTGCTTGTATTCTCCTTCCTGGCGGCTGACTGGCTTATCTCATTTGGAGTCGACACGAAGACAACTCCATTCAGGATCCTACAGGTGCTGGCAGTTCCCCTGAACAAAGAACCCTTCAAACTTCAGATTGCTTTTGCCACAATATTTATCACGAGAAATTTGATTTCCCTTTAGCTACCGTAGATGCAAAGAGAGAAAAGAAGCAGTAGGTGGAATATCTCATTTTGTATCCTGCAGGGAGACATGCCCTCACAGAGCCGTTCTGTCCAAGATCCACTGAAGAGTGCGCTTCTAATACAAACCTTATTGATTGGACTTTATTGGAATTTTCCAGGCTGCAGAATGGATCAGCTATTTATGCCTCTGGTTATTATTTGCAGTAAGTGACAGTCCTGACAGATAAGTAATTCTGGATAAACGTGGGCTTAGGTATAATGCTTATATCACAGGGGGAAGTGTTCCATGTGTCTGGAAATAACACAAGGTCAGATATCTGAATAAGCTACTTCAGCTATTCATATTGGCTCTACTCAGAGACGTCCTTCACAATTTCGAGTTCCTTTTGTTCCTGGACTTGGTCCAGGATGAGAGAAGTCAAACTCTAGCCAAGGCGGTACTGACCAACACTCACCTTTGCAACAGCCTTCCATTTTTCCGTGGTTTCTAACATCTCCAGGCCATTTCTACAGGTATCTCATTAAGCCCTTACCTGCTAAGAACATAGGGCTGCACTACTGCCACTTTGCTGATGCAACTGTAACGCCCACATTCTGCTGCACATCTGCACCTCCCTCCCCACGCTCCCTTTTTTCCGGCACTGTACACAGGCTATCCTTTTATTCTCAGTACTGAACACACCACTGGGGCCATAGCATGGATGCCACCATCCATGACCCCACTCTCCCTGAGGGCAGCCCCCAGGTGAGCCACGGGGTTACCTGATGAGGATGATGACCGATGGCGTCTGCGCCATGGCCCCGATCATGCTGCAGACACACATCACGCAGAGGAATGTCAAGAAGGCCTCTTCACAGCCAGGACTGGGGCATTTTCCAGGAACGACGGTGGCATTTTCGGCAGGGACCGAGCTGAGGCAGGAACAGCCACTGAGGTTCTGCGGAAGAGCACGGGGAATCAGGGAAAGCAAGAGTCACAGCCCCACTGCTCACCCTCTGTAATGCCACAGCCACAACGAGCCCTCCCACAGTTAATTAAGTCACTCCTAAGTGCTTATTTGAGGGGAGCTTGGGAAGGGTTTCAGGAGCGTGTCAGCTCTGATGCATGCAACCAGCAAGGAAACACCGTCCCTTGGCTTGTTTCTTTCGTCTGCTCCTTTCAAGTCTCTCCCATAAATGTCACTGTGACAAAATTATTACCAAGTTATACTCCTTCAGAGAAGAATAAAGAAACGATTTGTGTCCCCGAGACACAAAAGAACCCCAAATTATGGTTCTAATTACTTTCCACTTTACCTCTGTCTCCTCGGCTCTTGCAATTAAACTGAAGTACATTAACACCGGGTAAGTCTGCAGCCCTGCTCCTGGCTGTAGGTTGAGTGCCTGATTCCAGCACTCTGAGTGCTGGGAAGGGGACAGCCATGGGAGGTGCAGCAGACCACCATGGGTTGACTATTTCGGCTGGGTGCCACAGACACTGCTGAACTCAGGAGCACTCCGGGGCCAACAAATGACATCAGGTTCACAGAGACTTTTTGTGGAGCTAAAAGCTGAAGTTGGGCATGGTAAATTTTATCAATATATGATCAGAAAGGGAGAAATGACTGAATTTTTCTTTGACGTCTTCAGCAAGTGCAGAGTGTGAAAAGAAGCTTTGTTTGCCAGTTGTAGATTTAGTTTTTTTCTTATTTTCCAGCTCACCCTCCTGAATTTCTGAGCAGGGGATGTCGATGCAATTAAGGAGCACAATACTACCAAGAAATCCCTTAATGAATACAGAATGAAACGATCATAAATGATTCATGGCTTGTCTTCATTGGGCTGCTGGGTTTGCGGGTCACATGTTTGTAAGAGAAATAATGCCATAAAGTAAAACATACGGTAAAACAGCTAAATCCCTCCCCTTCCCCTCCACCACATCAAAGTAGAAGTACCTTTGCTTTTCTATCAGGGTCCCCTTAGGACTTTACAGAAGCACACTTTCTGGTTCACTGCCTCTAAAGTAAAGGAGCCATGGGGACAGAGCTCTAGCCTTTCTGACACCGATCTCTTTCTTCTGTGCAGGAGTCAAATGATTTTCTTCCACACAAGTGCATAGCGGGCAAGAGAGACTGCAGTGCAGAACTCCAGGAAAGCTGGAGGAGACATGCAGGTGCCTTTCTTGCTGGCAAACACTCATTAAAATAACAAACTCCTGTGCTGTGACTTAGAAGCTGCCACCTGAAGGCTTCGAGCTGGTAGCAATTAGCAGCACCACAGAGGTGTTTGTGCAGTGACAGCAGTGCAGCACTGTAACTCCTGGTTCTTACTGCAGTGCACTGCTGGTAACCAAACAGCCAGGACATGGCCTTGCAGATTAAAACCCATCTAAATGCACAGCTGTACTGAAATATCCTGGGATTAAACTTCCATCAGAGCAAAGATGAAGAACTGGCTGCTTATTTCCAACAAGCTCTCATTGAGGGAAAGAAAGCACCTTTTTCTGGCAACGACGGGGCCCATTCTCCTCCCACTAATCTAACTTCATCCCTGCTATAACAAGCCATGTCACTGGACCCTACCTTTGTACCCTGACTCTTGGCACCTCCACCCATTTTTTCAACCACTTTGCACCCAAGTGGTGTCCCAAAGCAGTGCAAGTAGTTTGTACCAACTACATCTGCTTGCTTTGTGCTGTGCCTCATCCTTACTTGGGAGATCTTTGATCTTTTATTACTGACGTGCTACACAACTCACAGAGATCAAACAAGGCAACATCAAAGATGGGCTTTTACCTTCACCCTGTGGAGAAGCAACTTTCTGTTACCCATGCCAAATTATCACAGATTCCCTTCTCTGCAACTCCCCCCTCACCATTCAATCACACATTTATCAGACTTCCACTGGCCAGCGGATTTTTTTGTGGGCATGTGAAGCTGCACAAACGCAGTTTGCTTCCTACGTTTGGATTAATTATCTACACAAATTTCCCGTGTTTTCAATCATCTAATTTCTAAACCTTGGCTCTGATGATAGGAAAGGGACAAGCTTCTACTTCGCTGCAAAGCCCTGAGATGCCAGCATCGCAATGCCAGGCTGGAAAACATGCACCTCCAGCCGAAGGGGAGGTTAAGAAAAGCAATACAATAAGTACAGTAGAAGGCTTTGTATGCATGGGTCATTTGTGGGCATGGCCCAGAAGAGATTTTCTTGTGGGTGCCAGAGCTCTGGCTATCAGCACTGACACTCGTAAAGCTTTTTGGATAGGTGCACCCCTGGAACCAGCTCAATAAGAGAACACAAATGAAAAAGAAACAACTAACTGAGCTACAAACTGCTTTTAGAAATTGTTCACAGAGGAGAAATGGAGAGAGGCAGTCAGAAACGTCCAAGGCAGTAAAGTTAAATAAAGCATTCAGAGAATTTTATGTCTCAGTAAAAAGGAACCCTTGGCTCATCACGAGCATATAACATTCACAAGACCCTCTAGACAGGTCATTACCTGGATTATGGGTTTAAAACCTGGTTTGGAAATTTGGCTTTGCCTCAGGGCCACTGCATAGCCAAACTGGTCCATAACTCTTGGTAATACCCTTTCCAGAAGATGCTATTGCTTCACTAATTTGTGTTTAAAATGCTACTGCAAAGAAATACACAAAGCAAAGCAACAAAAAGAACTCTGGGATGGAGACAAAAGGGCAAAATAAGAAAGAATGAGTGAATAAAAGTGGAGGAAGGGAGAGCGAGGTTCTTGCTTGAAGGTTTGCTCTTATGAAGCACGAGGTCAGGCAGCTGCATGCTGAACAGGCAGAGCTGAATTTTCATTACTGTGCTCCTTCCAGAGGAGTCAGAGTTCTGCCCTGAGTCACACAGCGAGGTGGTTCTTCCTGCACTCCAGACACAAACGACACTGGTTGTACTCTTGCTAAGGGCTCAGGGAACTGGTGAGACACTATTCTCTATTGTGTGCCCTGGACAAGCTGCCTTCTTGTTAAAATCATCACGTTGCTGCTCCAAGTGTTGTGTCTCTTGTTGAGAGGAGAGCAGAAGGTAACGCCTTTACATGTACCATGGCCTGGGTCACACTCTCACAGAGTCCCTTCTGGGGTTGCTGAAAGCGCCCTGAATCCATAGCGCTTCTCTCTTGTCAAAGGGATGCCTGCATCTTCAAGACTGGAGTGGGAATTCAGCGGAGGTGTGAGCTCCTGGGTCATCCGTACCAAGAGTTAGCAATGAGCTTGTGCCTCTGCTGCCTATTCAGAAAGGAAGGACAAGCCATGGAGAGATAATTGCATGTGGCAAGCACTGCAGCTGCAAGTGGTCGCTGTGACCAGGCTCACCTCCCACTCACTCACGGTGTAACTCAGGAGACGCTAGATTTTCAGCAGCACTGAATGGAAAACCAGACCTCTTAGATATTGCTAAGAATTCCACGTCTTTACACAGAGATGGTTTGGTCTTCAGGAGTTTTCTAAAGGAATAAATTCCTAAGAACTGAGAAATGCTGAATGCCTTTGGATGGAATCTCGGCTCTCTTGACAATTGCTCTTGCCATTGCCTCAGAGCAAAGGAGTGAAAGGGAGAAGCAAGAGAAGCGGAGGGAAATCTTCAATAAAACTGAATGCAATCAGGGTCTGGTCATACCTATCTAGGAATCCAACTTGGGAAAAGAGCAAAAGGAAAAAAAGAGTAAAAAAGACTGAGCAGGGTGAACATAGTCAGATGGAGAACCGAGGAGATAGGGAGCAGCAGGAGAAGAGGGAAGATTTTCCCACAGCTCAGGCCAGCAAGCTCATGCAAAAGATTCGGGTTCTGCCAAAGGACACACACACACATTTCCCCTTGTGTTCCTGTGCTTCAGTACTGAGGGGAAAAACTGAGGGAGGAGCAGAAGGATGAAAAGAAAAGCCATCCTGCCTTGAGAGCGACCCTGGCATGCTGCTGCCAGAGCAGGAGGGCATTTTTGCAACAGAGCAAAAAACAGCTAAGGATAATCTGAGTTTTGGGGGTTTAACCCTACTGACTGCAAATGAGCCTCTCTACCAGATACGTGCTAACTTCTCACAGATTCATTCCTACAGACAAGAGATACTGAGGAAAGGCTGCTTACTGTGCTGCTGCAGCCAGCAAAGCAGGCAGACAGGTAGGTGACCCCATCTGCCCCACAGACCGGAGTGAAGGAATCAGTTTGGCATTCACAGTTGTTATTGCAGGGGGAATATGGGTCCAGAGATGAGGTTGGAGTTGAGCTGTAAGAGAAACAGAAAAACAAATCAACAGGCTGATACCAGCTTTTCTGACCAGTGCCACATAAATATGGCTTTGAAGGGGGTCAGATAAGGCAAACAAAATTAGAAAAAGCAGACTGCAGGCTATCTGGATCCCAGTTTGAAGAAAACCAGGCTACAGTCTCTCCTGGGGGCAGAAATGCCTTGGCCACCATCTTTCCACAACAGGACATCTGATGTTAGACTTGGGCTGCCTCTCTAATGAGCAGCCCCAAAGCCTTGCCCAGGGAAGGGCTCTGTTTTTCTAGAACAGCGAGCAGTTGAGAGCCTGAAGGTTTCATCTTCGAAACAGTCACCACTATGTGCTGAGAAGCACCAGAAAATAAAATACAGATTAACTCTCTCCAAGTCCTGTGAATGCTACAGTGAACTGGGTACCTCATTCCTCCCATGAAAACGGGTTTGGAGCCATTAATATTCTCTCCACCACCTCTGAGTTTCCCTGTCTCCAAAACATGGTTCTGCAAACTCCCCTCAGGTGCTTCAAAAACCAAATGAAGCAGTGTGTGTCCCTTGATGCCAGGAGAAACCAGATGGTGCAATGGACCCAACACTACAGAGGCGGTCACGGGTTCACAATCGGGTTTGGCACCTTTAGATTCAGTTTGTATGCTTTCAATAAAGCTCATTTGCCAGCTGTAGGCACTCAGCTCTCACAGAGATGTGTGGTACGAAAGCCCTCTGAGTGAGAGCACTGTTTGACATGGCCCTAATTAAGCTGCTTCCTTCATATGGTTGCTTGCGGGCCAGCACTGCCTGAAGGCTGCTCATGGAGGACAATAACATGGCATTTCTGTTGGCAAGGCTGAGTGAGATTTGCCTTTTGCTGGCTGGCTGGAGGGGAGACCCTGAAACTCTGGGGACTTACTTGTTTCCATAGGGAACAGTAACCCCTGCCACAGGTCCTGTGTCACATCCCAGGAACAGGAATGACACGTAGCAAGCTGTGGACACCAGGTTCACCAGCATGGCCATCCTGATAGCTCCCAGAGCAGAAAGGCTGAGCTTCTTCACCAAAAGACCGCCCAGGAATATGCCCAGACATGCACATGGGATTGCTGTCATCCCTGCAAGAGGAAAAAATCAGCTTGAACAAGTGCAGGTAATGCTCAGTGAACAGCACTATTACATGGTGAAACATTCTTACCATCATCTACTGGAGTAGCACCAAGCTGTTATTTATTTGTTCTTGAAATATTCTTCTTGTTAAATCAATAAATCCCAAACCACAGAGGCTGTGGTACCTGGCAGTGTTAGACCCTGTCTGGACTGGCAGAGCAACTCACCCACCACTGCTTTACTCCCATCCGTGCCTCAGGCCCTGCACAATTAAATCTGTGCTGCTCTCTCCAGACTCATTTTAGGGTAAACTGGGGCTGCCCAACAGAGAGGAATGCATGCAAACGGATATTCTGCCTTGCACAGAGGAACCAGGATCTTCTTTCAGTTTTCATCCATACTGTAGGGGGATGGCAAAATTGCTGAGATAGGCCCATCCTAATCCAACCAGCAGCATCTCTATTGCCCCCTGTGACAACTGGCAGCCAGAAAAGTCAAGAATATTCTGAAGTGCCTAGAGACTTTGGATGAACCCTGCTTGGTATACTTCAAAGTACTCTGATATTCAGAGATTAGGCAATAGTTGCATTAGGAAATATTAAACCTCCCTTATAGAATCTTCCTAAACCATAAGATGCAAAATCACTGCCAGAAGTGACTCACTTTTCAGGCACAGAAAAGCATTATCACACTAAACTTGTCTGGGTTCAATTTAATCCCTTTGCTGCCAGTTACGCTCCAAACCTTACCTACCCAAGCTGAGCACAGAAGCGCATCCAAATCTTGGCATTTATGGACTCCTACAAACACCACCTGGGAAATCTGGCAGCAATGCTGCTTAAATTAAACAAGTTGTTTTGAGGACAGTGGAAGTATCAAAGTCTCCCTTCCCCCTGCTGGGTCAGAGGCAGGACGTGCTCTGGCGCACGGCAATTCCCACTCTACAGACCAGCCAGCTGTACACATGCTGGCTGGCCAGGCATCCTCCATCAAACAGTGGTTTTCCTTCTACCACTGGGTCAACAGTGAAGCTGCTTTCCTTTGCTAAGCCCTTAATTTTCAAGAAGGACAGAAGAATCCAACATATTTGAGACCTCTGTGTCACTGGTGAAGGCAACATGATGGCAAGGGATTGTTTATTTTGGAAAACTGGGCCGAAACCAAAAGATATCAACAGTCAATGGGAAAATAAGTAACTGTCAGGAGAGCAGCTTGCAAGTTTTTTATTTTGATAGTAAGACCCATACATTTCATGACGTCCCAGTTTTCTAGAGGTCGCTGCCAGATGCCCATCTGGTGATCTGTATTTACAGATAACCCAAAACCAACTTGCAGATATTTTAAATGAGTGTTGCTGAGAGAACGGATGTCATAAACAAATCATTAGACTGCTTGGAAATGAGTAGCAGGAAAAAATAAATGAAGATCCTACGTACACATCAGTATCCTGACAGAGGACAAATGAATGTAGAGGAAAACAGAGTACATGGAAAACAGCAGCAGCATAGTGTGCTCAGAGAGAAGGGGAATTTAAAAGACAACCAAAGTGCATGAGCTTGGCTATTTGAGCTGCTAACTATAATCCTGTCATTTCCAGTCCAAGGGGAAAGGAGGGACTAGCAGGAGAAACTTGGCTTCCTAAACCAAATGGACATGGGCTGGAAAAATCTGGGATACCTGAACCAGGAAAGAAGTAGTTAGATGGGTGACCCTGTAGCTTGACAAGCAGTTGTGTTCTTAGGGAACCAAATGGCCCAAGTGGGTTGGGATTTCTGCTGTGCATCAAAGCTAATACATTTCTGGATACTTCAAAGACATCACGTCTCTGGGTGTTGGGCAAGTCACCTTTTGGGCAGCCTTATCAGAGAGCTTGGCTGCAGCCAGCAGCCATGCTGAACGCTTTTCAATGCCTCTGGATGCTGGAGCCTCAGCAGTGCCATGGTTACTCACCCAGCAGCTGGTTGGCAGATGAGGTGGTGAGGTTGAACTGCTGCTCCAGGTACTTCCCCAGGAAGGCAGCAAAGCCTGCCACCACAGCTATCTCCATGCAGGCCGCCAGGATGATGCAAGTGAAGACGGGATTGGAGAGCAAGTGCTTTGTTACTTTGGGGATCACTGGAAGAGAGGGAAGAGGGAGATGTGTTACTGTGTGGGCTCTGCTCAAGGCGCTCTCCATAGAACAAACACATGGTACTAAAACTATATTTGCATTACACTCAGACAAGCTGATTGAAAAGTGGCAACACCAGAATGAAGTACCAACGAAAGAGCCAGATAACAGGAGGTGCCAAGGAAGTCACCTGTCACTCTTCTTAAATGCTATACAGCTTATGTTGAAATTCTGAAGGATCAATGCTTTCCAGTTTGTTTCCTCCACAGAGATGTCCAGCAAAACCCAGCATTCTTTTCCCTTCTCCTCTCCCCATCTGCTACCAATGAACAACGCTGAGCCAGTTGATGAGCACCACACATTATTTCAAGCTTTCAGACACAAGCAGTCCAAGCTCACATTTGGCCCTTCCTTTTTCTTGCATCCAAATTCACTTCATTTTTTAATTCTCCCGTAACACTGCCTTGCTTGCCAAGGGACGTCTTGCAGCACTTCTGAGTGCAAGCTGAAATTCTCCTTTTTAGCCTGGTGACATGGCCACGCATGGGCATAAGGGACATTGGGCACATTAGCCTGCGTGCTCCCATATACCTGACCTTGAGCAGATCAACAACACCTCCTGCATGGACCCCACCAGCGTCAGCGGCTACAGCCCTTTGCTGTGTAACACACAGCTGCTTTAGTTTCATGATCCCTTGCTCCTCCCTTCCGAATCATTAGTGTCCAGAGTCCTCTTCTCCAAGCCTGTCTCTATTTCCGATAAGCAAACACAAGTTACCTTACAAAGGGAAATCTGGCTAATGAATCAGATAGCACATTTTCTACTTCAGCGAACATTTTAATTATTGCAGAGATAACACAGCTTGAAGAGGAAAACATCCCAGTACAGGAGAAAGCCTTGCTTTGTCTCAATACCTGATGACTAATTTCTTCCTGAATTAAATGTGAAAATCATTAAGTTTGAAAATTACCCTGCTGAAGTGGAGTGAAGCCTCAATGGGCCCCTATTTGCATTTTGAAAATCCATTTCCCACCCCCCTCTGGCGTACCAGGGTCTAGCAGATGACAGATTTCTCTGGTGTGGCTTCTGTTTTCCCCTAGGGCTTTTTTTTTGGTGCAAAATCTAATTGCCTTGGCCTCAGCAAGCAAATGCCTGGCTCTTTGTCAAGGCTCTGCTTGGGTCCCCACGGTTCTTTCTTTGGGGGAAAAAAAAGGTTATAATTAGGTTTGATCTAACCTTTTTGGAAGGGGCCACTCCACAGTTTCTACTCCCTTTATAGCATAAATGTTTTTTTCATGCTGTATAAAATTCTTGCTTCCTGAGGATTTGCTGAACATAATGAAGGTGCAGGAGGCATAGGATTTTTTAGTAGAATGGGACTATAAAAATAAAAATAAAAAGAGACAGAGAGGGAGAAGCCACGGTGATTCAGACATGGAGAGATCTCAGGAACCACCTGCTGCCTCCTTCAGTTCTTTGGTGGCCACCTACAGACCTTCCCATCTTGCCAGGAAAAGAAGGGGGAAAAAAAAGGCGAAGGTGGACTTGGCAGAGCTGAGACTGGAAAGCCATATTTAAGGCATTACTGCCTTTTGTGCCTCTGGAGTTCCATTTGTACAAGATTAATGGATTCCTTGAGATGCAGCTCTGTGCCAATTCAAATGTTAAGACGCAGAGGTGTATTTGTAACTTTATCCACCAAATCAGAACAATGACAGACTGACTTTTGCAGGAGGGAGTTCAAGGCGGTGGACGTTTATTGCTGACGGTGGCAAGGCTGGTACCAAATCACCGTGCATTACAAAGTCCAAATCCATCCTTACTACACGGTCTGGCCATCCTATACTGCAACAGGGCTCTGTTCCCACTGGAGGGTGTGATACAAAACCCAGCACAAAGAGTGCAAAGGCAAAGTAGGCAATGCCTGACAGCTTCCACCATCTCTCAGCATGGGCCAGCTCATTCCCTTTTATTTTCTAAGGAAAATGACAAGAGGCTCCCCAAAGAAATGAATATCCTTTCATCTTGCTACTGCCACCCGTTACGATGATTCATTTGACACCTGCTGCTGCCTTATCTGTCTCAGTTCTTGGGGTGAAATACCTCTGGGAACAAGATTAAAAGTCAGCAGTGAAGTTTAAAATTCTCTCAATAGACTGAAGCGACGTGCTTTCAGCTGCCTGGCATATGGTGCCTGGTGAGAAGAGGGAATGGAAAATGTCTGAAGGGGGTCAGGAAAGCCCCAGCACAACAGCTTCTCCCCTGGAGCCAAAGTCATGATAAATGTTACCCTGAGCCTTGCTGACTCAATCAGAACTTGGACGTGTGCTCTAGCCCAAAAGGTTAGCTGCCTGCTTTGCAGCTCCAAAATGTTGTTAATAAATCTGATGCTGAAGTCCACTCACCAAATGGGAAAAGCGAAAGGACTTTAGGATTTAAAATAGTCTCAAGAGGCCTCTTTGAGAATGAACAAGCTGCATCAAGACAAGGCACAGGAAGGCTCACCCTCCATACTTGGATATTAGGAAAAATTTCTTCTCATAAAGAGTGGTTGGGCAGTGGCACAGCTGCCCTGGGAGGTGGTGGAGTCACCGTCCCTGGAGGTGTTCCAGAACTGTGGGCATGTGGCACTGAAAGCTGTGGTCACTGGGCATGGTGGAGTGAGATGACAGTTGGATTAGATGACCCTAGATTGTAGGTTAGTCAGAAGGACCAGCTCATTTAACATAACGTCCTCATCCCAATGTACCCAACATGCTATACAAAGGCAATTCCCATTGGAGAATACACCAAGAAGTAGAATATCATCCTCTTTTCTCCACCGAAGCATTTATGCCCAACACTTCAAACTTTCCGCTTACAGGGTTTGATCATAGGATCAACCATTCCAACCATTCAGGTTGGAAGGGATCAAGGAAGATGTCCCACAGCTCTCTGCCATCCCTGCTAATCTCTCCAGTTCCCACCCTCTAACACCCTAAACAACATCCGGGACAAACGCTGGCTGTGGAGGCCTCAAGCATCCTCTCCTGCTGAGGATGCAAGACCATGGGCTCAACAAGCAAATGCACTTCTGTACACCAAGTAGCTTTGATTTGTCACTAAACATCGGGGAGTACAGGGAATAATTGGCAACCTCATTACATGAGGTTTAACTACTCTCCAGAAACGACAAACTATAATCATCATGTTGGTGCTTGAAATGAATTGTTTGGAGCATTACAATCACCAAGGCCCCTTTTTCCAGTTGGAGCACCCTACAGAGACATGTTTTCAATTTGCAGTAAAGATGAGGAACACAGAAAGCGAAGTAATAAATTAGTAGGAGGTTTAGAGCCCAGTCCACCTAGGACAGTGTGATGAGGGGAAGGCAAAATTTAGCACTGATCCAAAATACTCCTTTCTAACAGCAATGCAGGCAGCATGCATCAGATTTGAATAGGAAACAAAAGGCAAGATCTGCACCTTGCTTGAGGAATATGGGATAAAGAAAATAGTGCAGGCAGCAAGAAGGAAATACCTGCTGGAAAGAGGCAGCTCCTATAATAGAGAAGATGGAATAGGACACGAGGCACTAGAGATAACTCAGGTGAGTTTAATATACCAAAGTCCATAAGGTCTGGGCAAAATTAATATCACAGATGGTATGAAGGAAAAGGATGACACTTGTGTCAAACATGCTTCTTGAGAGACAGGCCTTGAAGCACCTGTGACATTCTCAGATTCATTAAAGCTGTGAATTTAGAGCTAATTTTGTTAGCTGCTAATCTCGTGCAATCCTATGAGCTCTCCCTGAGGAATACAGGCATTCCATGGCTTGGGACCCCCACACAGCTGGGAGCTCCTGGCCCAGCACTACCAGGGAGCACTTCTGGGGAGAGAAACCCAGCATGTAGAGCAGCTCTCCCCCCGGGTAGTCAGCAGATTGGTGCACAGAGCAGGAAGGATCTGAACAGAAGACAAGACAGCTGTCAGCTGTACATCTCAGCCCTCCTACACTCTTGGAAATGAAGCTGGGTGGAAACCAAAATGTTTCCAAATCAAGGGAATTTGTAGTTTCAAAATTCATTTAATTCCACTGTAGGTTTTCCTTTAATTCCCTGTGAATGAATTTCTCGCTCCAAAGCTGAAGGATTCTGTATCAATTTCAACCTTTTTACATTTTTTCATCTCTCTAGACAGATGCAGTAAGTTTCTAGCTTAAATAATTCGAAAACAAAATGCATTTAGAGCTGAATGTTTCAAAAGGGTTAAAGAAAAAGCCAAGGAAGCAGTTTGAAAGCGAATTTCAGCAGAATTGACCATTCAGATTCAAAGAGATGGATATTTTCCTGCAAAAAACTGATTCCAACAGTGTATTTCCAAGCACGTCCTGGAGCAGGTGGTGCATTAGAAGCGGCGTGTTAGCACAAGGCAGAGGGCAGATGCTGGGCAGACACGAGCAGAGGGCACAGGTGCCCTGCCAGATCTGAGCATCATCTCCAGCCCCAACAGCACAGAGGTCCCTGGGGCAGCGCAGAGGTATGAATGGAAAGCTGTGCCCTCAGGGCAGCAGGGACTGCTTTCACAGACTTAGCATGCAGGCAGGGAACAACCCTGCCAGTCTGCCATACGAGTAAAGATCAATGGCAGCATTTATCCACCCTCTCCCTGTGTTAATCCTTCACTTCCCTGTGCTCCCAAATGGACTTGTGTTGCTTAACTGGAATAGAAGTCACCTAAAATGGTGCAGCACTCATTCTCTCATCTGGAGATGGTAAGCACCTCCCAGTGCCATCTCCAGGCTTTCTGGAGGACAGCCTGCTCCTTCCTTGTGAAAAAGAGGAAGATGGTTGCTGTTACATTAGTCACAGCTTTTCCCTGTGCTAAAGCCAAGGAATCTCACCCAGCCCTCCATCTCAATGTCTCTCAGCAAACCTTGTGGTGTCTTGAGCATCCTCCCATGCTCCAGATGTGCCCTGACACCAGCTGACAGTCACACCCCTGTTGGGAGCACATCTCCAGGTGACACTGCCCTACTTCCCTCCTGCCACGGCCACTCACTTGCAGCAGTCACTGCAAGGCTTGAAAAAAAAAAAAAAAGAAAAAAAATATCAGAACCATTTAATAGCCAAAAAGGATTCTCAGCTCAGCCTCCAAGGGTGCACTGCTGCTACAGCCCATTCACACAAAGCCCAGAGTATAAACTCTCCCTTCCACACAATGCACAAGAGATGGACAACCACACACCTCCACGCAGCCATGGACTGATGCCCAGCACACACCTGTTCAGGATGAAGCTGCAGAGACAACACTTAGAGAACAGCTGCTGGAGTTACTGACCACACAAACCCTGATGAACGCTTCCACCCACAACCCCATGTACATCTTCTGTTCTTCAGCTTCTCAAACACATACAAATTCCAAGCCCACGACAGGCCAGCAGACACGACTATATGCACACATATATATTTTTAGCCTCTGTATGCAATTATCACTCCTTTTCATCCCAGGAAAAACAATAAACAGGTCTGACCTTCCCCAGAGGAAACTTTACACAATCAGCAAACGGATCAAGGATATGAGGCTCAGTTACAGAGGAATGCATATATATTTTTCAGCTGCTGGCAAAACAAAATATGTTTATACACAACAAGATTGAAGCCTCCACCTTCAGCACTCCGCATCAGAGATGGTGAGGTTAGTCCTCCCTTGCCATCCATGCCTGCTCACCTCCAAAAGGGCACTTGGGCAAATGTGACTCCTGGCCACGTTCTGACTCAGGCAAAAGTGCCAATGGACTTGAAAGAAGATGCCAGCTACCAACACCATGTCGGCTGTGACAGCCTCAAAGGCATAACTAAAAAGGTCATTCCCTGTCTTATTTGATGTGATGTAAATTGTACTTCAAAGTCCATCTACAAAGAGACTTCTGGAACTCACTGATCCGAATGGACTTTACCCGCAGTGACAAGAGTAACGTGGAAGAGTGTGGTGCCTCCTGATGTAACCAATACTTTGAAGCATATGGATGTGGAATTTTAATTTCCGTACTTCAATGAGCAGTAGCTGCTGTGGCACCCATCTCTGCGGCCTCTCTGTGTGCAAGTCAGCTTGCTCTGCATCATCCACAGGCAGAACTGCCACCCCTCCATGCAGCAAGGACATGCCACATTCTTTTATTCCTCTGTATGAGAACCTGCAAAAATTTCTAGCCCGTGCCAAAATGTAGCAGCCAGAAACAGATGCTCCAATGAGTCCACAACAAAAGCCACAGAATCACCCAGCTGGATGTACCACGGAAAACACCCATTTCCCAAACCTGAGAAAATCCCTGCAGCGAGGACAGGAAGATAAAAGCAATCATTCCACTGACACATTTTCAAACAATCTATCTTTTTACCTTTCCTTCTGTTTGAATTTTCTCATCAAGTCAATATTTCACATCTTTGACCTTCCCTTAATGAACAACCACATCAACTATTCAAGGCATTTTTTTTATATCTGAGCAAATATTTTTTTCCCAAAGCCTTTTTTTCTTTCCCACACGCACCTCATTCAACTCCCAATTATGGCAGCTGCGCAGGGAATAAGTGATTTTGTCCTCGGTTATCAAAATGTGATAGACAATAACAAGACCTGCTCTGCCACAGTGACAGAGAGTGGGAAGAAGCCACCAGTGCTACAGAACTGGTAGTTCTTCATCCTCTCAGATGAAGGATTTTCTGTTGTGGTGTATTGAACAAGGATATGTGCCCACACTCCTGCACAATGCAGGATCTTTAGCTGACCTTAATTAGAACCAGCTTCATCGACATCACTAAAGGACGTGATATGGGATTTTCTATTCTCATCTGCTACAAGCCATTTTCTGCCTTGCTGCTTTGTTGCTATTCTAGGCTGGTATCTCTCTCTTCCCCATTCTTAAGGGCTATGTTGTGTCCTGCTATACTGTGGGGCTGCAATGGCCCTGCTGTCTCCCCAGTGCTGGGAGTTCCCTATCTCTTCTGTCTGCCTTTGCTGGCTCTCTGTTTTGGGAGGCAGAGGGAAGCAGGACTGCAGACTGGAGAGAAGCTCACAAACTGCTGCAGTGACTGTGTTCCCCTTTGTTTTTATCAACTCCACAGGACTACCACGGATTTCTGAAGCTTTGTATTCTAAGAAAAATCTTTCAAGTGGAACAAAGTCTGTCTTTAAAATGAGGACAATACCAGAGATAATTAGAAGCTAGGGACTGACATCTCAGTATAAGAGGCTCGTATTTTTTTCCTCGGTAAAGGTAGATAGCCCAAATCAGAGCCCAATTATAAATCCAACCAGCTGGTAGCCTGCTGCTGCCTCTCACAGAAAACGTGAGCAGAGGCAGTGCATCACCTCGTAGCTGCTGGAAGCAGGTTGTGCTGCTCTCTGCGTCCAACGCGTGCCGCAGGACCCCGTTGCTCGGCTTGGGCCTCTCGTAGTCCCTGTCAGGAAGCATGGCCTGCTCGCTCTCCCCAGCGTGCTCAGGCCTCGGGGGCAAGGACTGCGGGAAGCCAAACATGGGCAGGGACGAGAAGAAGAGTAAGGCACCACAGAGAAGGAAGCCTCCCCACCATGCACCGATCCAGCGAGGGTCATCTGGGGTGATGTCCAGCTTACCTGCAAGGGAAAACAGAAGTCAGTGGTTTGGTGGGATGAAGGAAACACAATGGAGTTAGGGATCCTATAGCCTGGGGGTCTGTTGGCCCCACGGAGCATCCTGCACCCATCCCATGCGAGCTGCCAGCACATGCAGATCTCCCCCTGCAAGAGGTCTTTAGTACAAGCAGCCTTGTCTACCTTGGTGGCACCTCCAGTTTCTGCAAAACTCCATAGTCAGAGCTTCTCTGCAGCTCTTTGGCTCTGCCAACACTAGGATGCTGCTGTGTATCAAGTGTCCCCTTTGATGGCACTGAGGTTTTGGGTCTCACTGGCCCACAGTGTTAAACATAAAAAACCCTCAGTGCCCTCCCTGAAAGCTGCTGGCTGGCTATGGAGATGGCTGATGGAGGAGCGTACAAGAGATGCACCCTGCAACACAGTGCATACCGACATGGGCTCCATGGTGTGAAACTTGTGCTCACTTATAACCTGCGACTGCATGAAGACTGGGAAATGCCAAAACGAGAAGTAAACACATGTAGCTGACATGCAAAGACCTGCATGGAATTGAACCAGCACAGACAAGGATGCTGCATCTCCATCCTGGCTCAATCAGGTCAGCATTTGGCTTTGAATTCACTGGCCTGTGTCCTTTTGGACATTTGGGCAGTATGAGCAGCTGTAATAATGTGGAACATCCTAAATATTGGGAAACATTTACAAGATGTAAAAAATGTTGGAAAAGAGACCCATTCACTGTAGCAGCTGGGCCTGGAAACGTAGAGATAGCATCAGCAAAGGAAGAAAAGCAGAGTAAAAGGCAAGGGTATCATGTTGGCTGCCATTCAGCAAAGATAAGGAAAAGAGAGAGCACCGGTGTCAATTTATGGGAATTAAAATAAGCAACAGGAGAGCAGATGCTGTATTCCCAACAGCAACCCCACTGCCACGGCCACTAAGCACTGGTGGAGGGTGACCAGTGCTGGGAGCTGGCTCCCCAGGAGACCGGGCTCCATGTGGCTGCAATAACAAGCTGCTCTGTTCACCATGTCTGTCTGGGCACGGCTACTGACATATCTGTCTCAAGTGAGGCAATCAAGTTGTCTCTCGAGCAGAGACAGAAGGAAACTCTTTTTTTCCTTAGGGAAAATAACGTGCAGCACTCAAATATATATAAAGTTTGAAAAATAGTCTTTTGGAGGGATTGAATTTTTCTGCTGTTATTTCCTCCTGCCTGAAAGCACATCTTTTCAGGCTCCTGGAAACACAGCCACAAGAAGAGCCAACGTAAACAAATGTCTTCCTCACATCCCCTTCCTGTACAGGTGCTGTATGAAGGGTTGTGCCACAGGGTGTCCTGGCACCCCACACCTTCAGTCCGAAATAGGAAGCAGGACAGGCTGGCATTCTGGAGTTTGGTCTCCAGCTGTAATGTAGAGTCTCCTTGCCATTCAAAAACAAGCTGAGGCCACGTGTGCCCCAACCTTTGCATGATGATGATGGACCATGGCCAAAGCCAGTTGGACCTGCAGCTGGAAAGTGCTATCCCCTATCTACAAACTGCTGAGCCACAGCTCCTCCAGCATTAATGCCACCACCACCCTCCTCCACAGCTCCTTAATTATCTGGGGCTCTCTGAGCTCTAAACACGGAGCAATGATCCTATGTAAAAACAATCAGATTTAATTCATTTTTCACCTGTGCCAGCACCCTGCCTGGATAGAACCAACTACAGATACCCAAAAAGTGCACAAGAATAAAGCCAACATGTTCCTGATGTTATTCTTTGTTATTCTTGCAATTTGTGGTTTGGGGACATTATAAACCAGGTATAGTGTCTTTTTCATTTCTCTTTCTATAACCTCATCCAGTTGTTTCTGAACTCATTTGTAAACTTTTCATGCCCTGCAGTGAGGAGTTCCACAGCTTAATCTAATGGAAGAAGGAGCACCTTCCTCTGCACGTCCATATTTTGAACTGAATTATGCTCTAATGGCCAAATATGGAACAACATTCAAGCAAGCACCTCTGCCTAGAGGATCATCTGAGTGTTTCGTATATCTTTACAAGGAATGGAAACAGGCCATGTGGTGCTTGACCACAGCACAGCTAAAAGTCTTGGCTATCAAAAAAAGAAACTTCTTTCCTGCATGCGTGATATTACTTAGACTTCTCTAGCTGCCATACACAGACAGGACTAAGAAAGGGGTTCTGACCCCTGCAAGGATGAACTCCATCCAACTGCATCCTGTGAAGATGTTTTAGCAACCTTATAAAACTGGAGCACACCCTCAAAGGTGACAACGTGAAGCGTTAGGTTTGCACTCCGCAGGGCTCAGGAAGCAGTGGAGAAAAGCCTGTAACACATTGCCCTCTAATGGCAAAGAGGCACAGTGCAGCTAGCTATAAAAATTTGCTGGCTCTTTCAAAACTTGCAAACGACTTGATTTAAGCCAACATGGAGTCAAAGTGAACAATAATTAGCACTAATTTTGGCAGACATCTACAACGCTGTGGGACTGACCTGCCCACAGGGTCATTTGCAGGTGGCACTGGTACGGGTGTGCTTCCATCTGAGAGCCCGGCTGATACTCCCAGGTCCTGGGGATGGCAGCTCTACAGATTTCATGCCATGCTTTGGACACAGCTGCCCTAACATTACTACATCCGTGCTACCCAGTGCTTGAACACAGTGATGTTTTCAGGCATGCTCTTAGAGCTGAAAACTCATCCCACAGTAGAAAGGAATAAATTTCAGCCGCTACGAACCTGTTGTTTATGGGGTCAGAGTTGAAAAGTTTGGGATCTTGGTCAAAAAAAAGCAAGAAGCCTCTAAAAGTGATATCCATGCATGCAAGGGACTCTCAAGAAGGAATGAGAAGCAGCTCATTCTTGCAAGCATCAGTGTTTTTGACATGCTGATACATTAAAACATTTGATTTTAAACAAAATTCAGTTTTCCTTACTTGTGTCGATGAACACAGCATCCACATAGATTTTGGTACAGAAGGAGCCCAAGATAAATCCACAGGCTGGTCCAAATACCAGCATTGTAAACAGGATCCCTACAAGGAAAGACAAAAAACAAAATTAGTACTTGGCTCACGTTGTTCTGGTCTTCTGCAAGATGGGACGGTCTTACTGGGGTACCAAATAGACAGATATGTCTGTGTATCAAATGCTTCAGAGAAAAGGCACCCAAACTGCTTTTCATTTCTCCATAGACTTTCAGGAAAAAAACAGAGGATCAGCTGTGACAATGCTGAAGGATTTCTATTAGCTGGAAAGACTGCATGGATTTATATTGTGTTGGTTGGATCTTATTGGCCAGCACGAGGTACCCACAGGGAAATCTTTACCTTTGCCACCTCCAGCTAAATTCCTTGTAGATATGGATATTCACAGAATTTAGGATCAGCATGCCTATGAAATGCTGAATTGTCACAGACTGCTGGGTGAAGTCCCTTTGGGCAGGTAGGAGCATTCACTCCAATCTGAGAAACCCTTCTCCCCATCATATATCAATATTTGCCACGTAACAAACACTCCCCAAGACATACAGCTATTCAGAGCTCTTGTGAAGGCTTACTGCTCCTGCAGAGCTTTTGTGAGCCAATTACTTGCTTCAATACAATATTTAGAGCATTTATTCTCATTCCCATTTTGGCCCTGGAACAGGAAGGCTACAGGCACATTGCCAACTCCCAATTATCCAGGGCAGAAAGGCAGGGGACACAAGGATAATCCAGAGAAAGAAGTAGAAGAGATAACACACAGCATCTGTAAATTAGACAACAGAAACATATTTAGCACCTTCGCATGGGATGCAGAAACAACACCAAGTCCCTAAGGGGCCTCGTAAGTGGATTTCTGAAGAAATCACAGCGAATTCTGAACAGTGTGGAGTGAAACCTGCTAGTTTGCTTTGGGTTGAGCAGTGAGGAGAGCGGCTCTGGGAGTGCAGGGATGTTCCATGAAGAAGCCTGATCACATCAGACTGCTTTACCTCTACAGCAAGGATACAATCCATGCCTCCCTCCAACCTCCCTGTGGGTGCTGCCCAGCATCTTGGTGTGTGCATAAGGCACATAACACCGATAACTCAGCCCTCAAGTTCCTTAACGGGAAACCTTTAATTTAACTCTGTGCAGTTCTCAGAAGCTGGAGAAATGAGCAGAGCTACAAAACATTCCCAGGAGATCACCAATCCACCGCAGTGCAAACCACACCTGCTGCTGACAGCTCAGCCAAGCAGAATAAGACGGTGCGGTCAAAAAATAACTCCATTTTTACTATGCAGAGTGATGCTCCATCCCTGGAGACCTTCAAGGCCATATCGGATGGCGCTCTGGGCAACCAGATTTACTGGCTGGCAACCTTGCCGACATTTTTTTTTTGGTCACTAGGTGGCATTAGTGTCTATCATTGAATCAAGGGCTGGGTGATGGTACAGATCACCCCAGCTCCCCAGGCCACCCACTCTGTTACTGGGAGTCGAAGAATTTTGTTTTAACAGATATAATCTGGCAGAGAAATGGCCATGTCTATTAGTCTGGCAAGCAAAGATTAGGTTTTTCTTCAATAACTGTGCATTAATTATGAATTTATGTGTAATTACTGTCAAGCACGTGTGGGCACGTTGGATGGAGTGTACACCATAGAGATGGGATCAGGCAGGCATGACTGGTTCTCCAAAGGCAGCAGATATACGTTTTCTCTTTTTTAAAACTTACTAATTGTGGCTGGATGGCTTTCTGTAAGTGTTTAACAGCTTCAGAGACCTGGGGGCACAGTGACATTGCTGTTTGGTGCAGGCAGAACAAGAGGGACCAATTCTAATACTTGTCAGAACCACCACTGCAGGTGGTGGTGGTGAAGCAGTGTCACATACAAGCAAGAACACAGCACCAAGTGCATGGAACCAAGGGCAAGATAAGGAGCAGAGAAAAAAATCCTTCACACCAGTGCTTTATACACTCTGAAATGTCCTCACTAGAGGGCAATGTGGGATAGAGCACGAACCGAACAGGGAAATTGCTAAGATCTTACAGTAAGATTATCAATTCTACATTTTCGTCTTAAAATCAAGAAGAGACTTTCCTCGTGCTCCTTTTGCCACCCTCTTTCAAGACTCCACCAAAATCCTTTGGTTGCAGTAAAAGTGTTTTATAATTTATGCCACAAATTGAACAGTTCTTGAAAGAAACCAAGGCCTGGACACGTGACACGATAGATAGAGCCTGGAGAGAGCTGGACCGTGCTCCAGGCTCAGCAGAGCACAGCACTGGCACAAGAGTTGGGCTGTTGGGCAATCTGTATAAGATATCAGTACTTAAACACGTACGTGGAGTTCAGTGCTCAGAAGGAAATGACACAAATTAGAATTTGCTGAAGACATCCTTCCACTTCTGAGAAATGCTGCATGACTGCTCATCACCACCACTATTAGGACAGTACTTCCCACACCATCCACCTGGCCACGCAACCACAAAGACAACACTTAGTACAGAAGATCTAGTAAAGTCCTTTCTCCCAGTCCAGGATAAAGATGTGATAAAATCGTGGATGGCTTAACACCCCTTGCTAGGTTGTTTCCCGCTTTTCCCTCTAACTTTTAGATCAGCCTGACTTGATACAGGTGTATGCCACAGAGCAAAAGGGCACCAATGCCAGGAGCAAGCAGACCCAGGGTCTAAACCTGGCTCCATCACAGGCTCTTGCAAAACTCCTCATTAAAAGCAACAAAAGTGGCAATCAATATAGGGTACTCCAGCCTCTTCCCTTTCACTCTTAGCTTAAAATTAGCTTCTAGCATTCACAGCCTTGCATTTGGTAACTCCCATCCTCCCCAAGAAAAGGAAAGGAAAACCAAGCTGGAACTGTCAGCTCTAATTCCATTCTGCAAACAAACACCTCCTGCTCTGCAGGGCAGGCTGACCCTCTTCAGAAGGGCCTTTGCTTCGTCCTACACCCAGTGTTTCAAAGAGAAGTGGGGCATGTTCTCAAAACAGCAAGGCCTATGCAGACCAGCAGGAAGTAGGATGAGAAAGGTTTCTCCTTCGTGCATTTTGATGTTTTTGTTTTTAATTTATATATATATATATACACATACATATAACATTCTCTCTCTACATATATATAACATATATATATAACATTCTTTCCAAATTATGGGAGTAATCATTTTCAGCTTTCCTGCTCTATCCCTCTTTCCCTGCTCTGTTCGGGCTGGACTGAGAAATCTGAATTATTTTCCTCCCATCTTCTGAAACGGAACAATCTGCCAAACCCTACTTGGTTCTGTCAACTAACAGACATTTTCCAGGGGCTGGGGAAAGGATAGGAACAGAGGGGAGTATTTGATCTGACATTCTGTGACGGCATTTTATCACTAATAAGGCCCAGGACTACTAATGCAGTTTTCCATTAGAGCAAAGAGAGAGAACAGCAGCAGGTACCACGTATCAGTGGAGTGACTGTGCTCAGTCAGTCATGCAAAGCACACAGGAAAAGTTACCAAGAGAGGGATAAAGGATGTCAGTATTGCAGTATTAAAGAGCTGTCCCTTGGTTGACCATAGAATGGCTTAGGTTGGAGGAGAACCTTACAGACCACCTAGTTCCAGCCCCCTGCTACAGACAGGGATGCCAACCACTAGGTCAGGCTGCCCAGGGCCCCATCCAGCCTGGTCTTGAATGTAGTTTCTTATTGAGTCCAGGTTATTTTATTTTCTTATATGAAATCCTGAAGCAAAAGTCAGGATTCTGGGTATGGTTTTGCTTTATAAAGGAGCTCAGGTGCTTACAACGGGATTTAGTGCACCATGACAGAGACCTTGCTTAGTAAAAGACGATGTACTCATGTCCAGGAGCAGGATACATATTTCCGACTTAGTCCACACAACACTTAGATACCAGCTAAGGTTTGATTCATAACATATCCGAATCAGACTTGTTGGCTTCAAACAAACTGATGCAGACAGAGGCGAGATGCTGAACAAAGATTTCATTTCCTGTCCTTCTCTGTTTTGCCATCAGATTGGTCCAAACATCAAAGTGCCCAGCCAGGAGACGCGGCCACTTCCAGGATACACACCAGCACTGGTTGATCCATAATTCCAGCAGAGCCTGGAAGCCTGAAGCATCTTCACTGCTCTGGACCATCAGCAGTCAACTACACAGTATCTCAAGCCCTCCCTCTGGTACAGACAATCCCATTCCATTTAATCATGGAGGTGTGGCTCATCCCTGCTGGGCTTACATCACATTAAGCCAGGCAGAAGCCTTGGCATCTCCGTGATACTAGGTTGCAGGAGGTTGTGCACTGTGCTATGGAGCAGCTCACTCTCAGGAAAGCTTATGGGCTCTGCCTGCTACCCCAGGAATGAGGTTTTGAGGGAAGCCCATAAATAAAAACTTCAAAGGGGGTTATTTGACTCAAAAATCACATTGGTGCGAGGGTGTGCAAAACAAGATCCATGTGGAAGACGTGGGAACCTCCCTCCAAAGGTGGTATCACCATCGCATCACGTAACCGCATCCCTGTGGGGGAATAGGCAGCGAAATGCGATCTCTGTTGAGGGTGACAGTGACCAGATGGTTTGGTGACAGCCACAGAGTGCACATATGTGGTGCACAGAGGGCAGAACACACACGTGAGCTGTCATGACCCCACGGGGTGTCGCTGGGGACAAGGGACATGTCACGCTGCGGGTGGTGGCCCCAGCCAGATGCTGCTGCCTCCTGCCTGCTGTGGGAGCGAGCTCTTTCTAAAGCACCAAGGGAGTAGTTTTGCAGAGCAAGAGATAATCTCAAAACCCTGCTTGTCCCACATTTCCCGCTGCAGGGCAGGCCCCTGAGAAGGGATTACTGGAACACAGCTCGTGTGCCGGTCTTAAAGGGACACAGCAGCCCCGAGGACGGCAGGCAGCTGGACAAGCTGCAAATGCTGTATCCTCCTGAACCATCAGGGCTCCACAGGAAGACTTTTGCACTGTGGGCCGAGCTTAACAATTTCAGAAGGCTTCCTTTGATTTTTATTAGCTGATGTAACCTCCAGATGCACG